AAAAAAATTCTAGGGGGGGGTGAAAAAAATTCTAGGGGGGGGTAAAAAAAATGTAACCCCCCTACAGAATCCTAATTTACGCCCCTGATTATTCTCTTTGGAATTAAACAACTTTAAATAATTATGGAAGAAGACATTTTAAACTTTTCACCAACTGTTATGTATCGTGCGGACATCTTGTATTCAGACCATTCGATCAATGCAATGTCTTCAGACCAATCGATCAAAGTATTCTTATTGGACCCCTCAATCAAAGGTTGAAGCACTCAATCAATCGATTGTGATTTTGACCAATCGATCAAAGGAATGTAGGAATTCTAGGGGGGGGAGGGGTAAAAAAATCCATCGATCGAGTGGGGGATAATCACGGCTCCACTTGATCAAAAGCAAGATTGTTTGTAAACCGAATTCAAGTTTATCGGGGCCGTAAACAGGATTGTTAACAGTGGAGTTTACCCGTTTTTTGACATTGATTATAAATTTTTTTAGGTTGAAAGTTACTTTTTATTTCTTGATGTCCTTTAATCTTTGAAATTACATTCACTTGAAGCCCCACCCCTTAAAATCCAATTTAAAATTAGCCGCTTCTGAATATTTTCTTTGCTCCCCTAATTTTGAAAATAATAAATATTAAAATTTGGCAACCTTTCTCAACTTCATTTAAAATGATGTCCGTCTGTCTCACGTGACAACGATACTGCACTGCCATTGGCTGAAGTTCTGGTGACGTAATACGGACTAAACGGACTATATGTAATAATATTAGCAATTATAAAAAAAATATAATAGGAGCAAACCTGAGATTCTCAGGCTCCTGTGGGTTATCGTCATTTTCAGATTGGTTGCGTATTTGTTGAATATGATTTAGTACTACAACTTTTATACAAAATTGCATATATATATATATATATATATGAATTTTCGTATAAATTTGACACAGTTTTATATCAATTTCCCAAGACATGCACATCAGATAGATGTTTTATATGTATCGTTCAACGTCTGAGATTCTCAGGTTTCAGCCTATACCCCCTTTCATTTTTCTTTTACAGTCCCTTTAAACATAAACATATATTACAAGGGCATGAATGAGATATTTTCAAATTTGATAAAAATTAAATGTTTAGATTTTGAAACGAAGCAAATGTTAGGATCAATTTAACTGTCAATCATAAACCTTCTCAGAAGTCAGACTAGGGTTAGAAGGATGGAAACTAAACGGAAATAAATTGAATAAAAAATTGAAAATGCATATTGTGAACAACTTTAAAAGCTTATATTCTGTGTTTCGTATCAAATAAAATATAGTAAAAAATCTTCGAAAGGCCATAATCGATATCGATCCATCCCTAATTGGTTCTTTCTAGCCTTTGTGTAAAACAGATCTCATAGTATAGTTTTGAAAGTAAACCTGTACTGTGAACTTGTGCTGTGAACCTGTGCTATGAACCTGTGAACCTGTGCTATGAACCTGTGAACCTGTGCTATGAACCTGTGAACCTGTGCTGTGAACCTGTGAACCTATGAACCTTTGAATTTTATCATTAAAGGGACTAAAAGAGTAATAAGAAGTAACCCTCCATGCACAGATGTAAATTCCCGATTCACAACGGTACCCCTGAAACCATTTATCTAATCAACAGTCTGGAAGATATATTTGTTAGTTTTTCTAGGGTTAAAAGTGTTTAATTCTTATATTCCCTATTCCTATTCCATGTGTTTTCCTGTAGTAGAAAGGCGCAAGTCACTTTTACAGAAATCCCACAATAGAAAATAATCATTAATCAGTTTTCAAAATGTTAAACATTGATATCGAATACATACTTGTTAAGATTCATTAACCTAAGCTTAAGCTGAGGGGTTTGGAAATCACACAGAACTTAAATCTCATCTATAATTTATTTGTGAAAAATTATCGCAAAAATCTGCGAAATTGATCCAAACAGAACCAAACAGAACCCCTTTTACCTTTCAACATTCCTTGATATACTTGATCAGACAAAGTTTTAAGCTTGCAATGCAGGGATAACATGAAAGAATAAGGAAACGATCGTCGACTTTGCAATTTCTTTTAATTATAAATATTTTGATACAGTGAGAACCAGAAAATTTCGTGACAGGAAGACGATTTTTAGACTCAAGTTTTAACTTTAATCAGTTCATTAAACAATAGAAATAACAATTGGTCAGTGTTTTTCATTACAATGAATCCGTTACTAGTAAAACTATTTGCTTTGTAACAACATCATTACTAAATTAATTGATTTACTGTCAATCCACAGTTTCTAGTTCTGACTGTATTAATGAGCTTATTTTTGAATTACAAATTTAGTTTGATTTTTTGTAGCAAATTACAAAATTCAAAAGTTCATTGCAACGAGGTTAAAGTATAATACAGGGTGTCCCACGAAACATGACAGTTGGTAAATAATTTGGAATGTCTTCTTATCTTCCCTATACAGTAAAAGATATTATAAAGACTTTTTGCATTTTTTTTCGTTCAACAAAATCTTTTATTAAAATATATTTTACATTGAAATCAATTTTACTATAATGTGACTACCATTAAATATTCTTATAATTCTCTTTGGTATTAAACATTAATTATGGAAGAAGATATTTTAAATTATTCAACAAGTGTCATGTTTCGTAGGACACCCTGTACTTGCAATAATAATATAAATGCACAGAAACCCTGAAGGCTCATATGTAACATGTCTTTACACTTGTTGAGTCTTTCCCATGAAAAAATTAAATTGTACTATTTTGGGGAAAAGAAAAATTGACTTGAAAGGGGGCAATGGAGAATCTGAAATAGTATGAAGGGATGTTTGCAAAATTCCTTGACTATGTAAACATTTTTAGGAATAAACTTTTAGATATTCTCACATCTATGAAAAATGAAATATGTCGGAGAAATGGTTGAAAGATGTAGAACTATTCCGGGTCGTGGAGTTGCAACTCTTATTGGAGGTTTCATCATTTGCATCACTTTTGCATTAGGAATGTTCCTGTCTGTTCTATTTTTATAATTTAATCGATTTTTCGTTAATTAATACTTTTTCAATTTATATCACATTATACTCTTTACTAGACTAAAGTAAATTGCATGTTTAGATTGAAATCTTTTAAATCATATCTCCTCCTATTAAACAGGTATTGAGAAGAACAAAAATGTTTCAAGTTTCTAATATATAAAACCAGATAAATTTGCTTTCCTCGTGCTTTTGCGTAAAATCAAAACTAGAGGAACTACGAAGTCACAAAGTCCCGCAAGTACTGTCGCATGAATTTTACAGTACCTAGCATCTTTAATGTCAGACACGAATCTCAAGATGAGCTGTATATAGAGCCTAGGAATGAAAAACTGTACAGAGCCCGCGATTTAAAAGCTTCGGCTCGAGTCGTAATTCCTTAAACCCGACTTGAAGACCCAACTCTAACGACAGCGTGTGTCACGTGATTGACAGCTGCAAGATCTTCGGCTCGACTTAAGGAGTTAGGCCCAATGAAAATAAAACCGACCTTTCCAATTCCTACCATGAAAATCCGCCAAATAGAATATTAGACCGGTTTTTTTTAATTCAACTCGGTGGAAAGTAAGATGCAGCTTGGATCCGAAAGCTCAAGCCGTAAATAAGGTCCAACGACAGCTGAGACCCGAGCCGTATTTCCCCGAATTTTTTAAATCGCGGGCTCTGATCTTATAAGAACTTCTAAAACCAAATCTATTGAAGGGTACATTTGTTAAAAAAGTTTAAGTAAATCTAAGACGACATTTCAAACATTTTTCCAAATAAGAAGGGACACACTTTAGATTTCAGTTACAGTAATTTGAATACGTACATGACTTCATATATGAGATCTACAGGGTAGGTTTATGTACAGTGTACAGTGTACACAAACGTTGTAAGATGATAGTTCAATTACAGGGTGTCCCACGAAACATGAAAGTAGCAAGACGACTGGAAGGTCTTCTTTGATATCTAAAATAATTTTAGCCATTTTTTCATCAACCTATTTTTAGAAGTAAAATTTTAGAGTTATTATGTACAAAATATTTCAAATCATGACATTTCCTAAACGTGTTTAGCCTTTTGTGTTGTCAATATTACCGGAGATATAGAGAATTTTGATCAGATTTCGACAATTTTAAAAATAAATAGAAAAACTACGTTCTCAATAAGGCCGCAGACCACATTTTGGAAATGTCAGGACCAGGAGAATTTGTTTGTTTCATAATTTTACATTTAATCATATGTTGACACATAAATGCTGGAAATAATATCAAAGATCAAACATGACCTTCAAGTCATCTTGCTACTGTCATGTTTCGTGGGACACCCTGTTTTTGAAAAAATTACATAAGTAGACAAACACTTCTCAGTCATTTGCTGAATACTAAATATTTTCCGTCAATACAAATTTTCAAGAAAACCAAGAAGTTTTTGGGCTAAATTCTTTTAGAATACAATTAGAATCAATGTTTTTCTTCTATTTTATTTGCAGATACAATCCTGATCTTAGATATACAGACTTTGTGTTCCTTACTTCAACTAAATTTATCCTACAGGTATTGTAATCTTTAATATTATTGTAATCTTAAACATAAATATAACTTTGATCCTATTGGTATTGTAATCTTTAATTCAAAACATAAATTCACTTTTACACTATACAGGTATTGTAATCTTTAATTCATAACATAAATTAACCTTTATCCTACAGGTATTGTAATCTTTAATTCAAAACATAAATTCACTTTTACACTACAGGTATTGTAATCTTTAATTCATAACATAAATTAACATTTATCCTACTGCCATTGTTATCTTTATTCAAAACATAAATTAACTTTTACACTACAGGTATTGTAATCTTTAATTCAAAACTTTTTTCCTACAGCTATTGTAATCTTTCATATATAACTTAATTATAACTTTTATCCTACAGGTATTGTAAACTTTATCTCAAAACATAAATTAACTTTTATCCTACAGCTATTGTAATCTTTAATTCAAAAAATAAAATTTCGTTATAAAATTCATTTTAATTTTTATCAATGTCATCAGAAAACAAATGATATAGATATATACAATTTAAAAGCTGATCTGGAATTGAAACATTGAATATAAAACATATTTCCGTTTTCATGAATTTATATTCTACTAAGTACTTCAACAGTGTTTCCACTTTTTGCCACGTCGCTAGTTCTCAGATTATAGAAGGTCATCACTATATTATCCTGAAATATGCAGATTCTAAGCAAAATCTTAATTGAGATTTTCATGTCGATTCACAAGAGTACCCTTTTAGATATTAAATATATTAAATATATAGGAACATTTGGTGAACAATTTAGTTGTCTTATTTCAATTCCACAAGTCACTTCTTAAAAAAATAAATTATCAGCAAAAATACTCAGAAAATAATTTTCACAATAAATTGTTAGTTTAGTTAACTTTCAAATTTTTAAGGAAGGCAATTAAAAAGAAAACAAAAACATTTTAACACAAAAAAATCAAGATGCTTCTTGTAAAGTTTTTTTTCTGACCTGATTTATTTTGAGCTCGTCTGTGAAGAATTTGAATATTTCTGGAGTAATTGTGTTTGATGTTTTCGGATCCTCAAAACTACCAATAGATTCAATCTTTAGCCAGTACATTGGTGCATCAGACACTTCAGGACCCTAGATAAAATAAACTTCTAAAATTTTTTTCCCCACCAGATTTGATATTGCTTTCTTTTCATTTCAAATCTATAAATATGTAAACTTGGTTTGTTTGTTTTAGTACGCTTAAACTTTATAGTTTGTCTACCCTAAAAACCTCGAAAAGGACCTGATTTGTGAAGAAAAGGAAAGGTTGAAAATGGCAGCTACTTAAAAAATTTTAAAAATAAGTGTCCGTCAGATGGTGTTGGCACGAACAAACTGATAAAAATATCACCTTTGACATATTCTTTTCCGTTTCACAAACCCAGTTAAAGTTTTGTGCAGGTTTGTTCAGTAAAGGGGATAGATGGGTAATTAACCTAAAAGCAAAAAATAAAAAAAATTAAAACAAATTTTCAAAAACGAAAAAAATGTAAAAACGGGTAAAATATTAATAAATCGAAAACTACTCAAAAATTTAACGGAAATTTTGTTTGAAAACAACGGAAAAGTTATTAAAAAAACAGAAAATTCATTGAAAACAACGGAAAATTTTTAAACAAAACGGAAAATTTATTTTAAAAAAGGGTTTCATTGTTAATACCTTGGCATAATGTCCTTCGGTAGAGCTGCCAACTTTAGGTTGGTGAGAAGCGTTACAAATGGCATTTTTTTCTGGAACACATTTAAAAAATAGAAAATGAGCAAAGACAATCAAAGGAATTGAGTCTTTGTCACAAACTCTGATTTTCTAATCCGTATATCCGAGCAACCTAATCCGTATATCCGAGCAACCTAATCCGTATATCCGAGCAACCTAATCCGTATATCCGAGCAACCTAATCCGTATATCCGAGCAACCTAATCCGTATATCCGAGCAACCTAATCCGTATATCCGAGCAACCTAATCCGTATATCCGAGCAACCTAATCCGTATATCCGAGCAACCTAATCCGTATATCCGAGCAACCTAATCCGTATATCCGAGCAACCTAATCCGTATATCCGAGCAACCTAATCCGTATATCCGAGCAACCTAATCCGTATATCCGAGCAACCTAATCCGTATATCCGAGCAACCTAATCCGTATATCCGAGCAACCTNAATTGTTGTATATTGTTGAGGATATACTGTTGTGAATCAATGAGGAAATTGTTGTATATTGTTGAGGGTTCAATATTGTATTGAATCTGAGAAAGGTATAATTCAAGAAAAAACAGATTTTTAAATCTAACGCGTAATTATCTCCATTGGTTTGGACTAAAGCACTATAACAGATGTGTTTTCAGGGCCCAGGCAACAACTGCCTGTATTATACTCCCAGTGTATCAGCTGGTGGATGTACTTAATAACCTGGGCTTGTAAAACAGCTTTAAATATAATTTTCTATCAATCTAAGACCTGTATAAATATTTTAAATGATTCTTAATACAGAAAATTCTTCAATTCAAAGTTATACTTTATAGTCCACTGCACTTTCATCAATAATTCATATTATATAATATTTATAATTAAAAGTGAGAAAACCTTTGGTAATGATTGTTACACTTTTTATTTAAGCAAAGAAATACCTGCGCCTTAATTGCAACGTTTGTTTATTTAGACCGACTTTTGTATGTCATTATTTCTGATTTGAAAGCATGTTGCAGATTTATGAACTATAAATTTCAAGGATTTGTTAAATATAGCACACTAGAAATTCAAGGCGCTTCGCGCCCTTCTTTCTAGGCTTTTAGGTCGCTTCGCGCCCATCTTCTATTTAAATTGTGAACACTTTCTTTTTGTTTACATTTCAAAACAAAGATGAAAAAACTTTTGCGGATTTTCAAAAATTTAATTTGTTTTATAAAATTAAAAACCTCTTAAACACAAATATTTAAAATTTCAATCATTCATAAACCTTCCCATGGGGTCCCTAGATGTCCCACAACAAATTTGGGCCCGATCGGTTCAGCCGTTCTGACGTTTATTGGATACAAACAGACAGAAAGACAAACAGACAAACAGACAAGCCAAATTTATATATAGATATAGATTTAAGATAAGGTTAACGTTTTGTTTTAATCATATTAGATTATCTCTAATCTTTAACGACAAAAAAAACCCTTAATGCTCGAAAAACTTATCATTTTCCGCAAGAAAATTTTTATATAAGCCTTATGTTATTTTTCAAAATGATTCATTCTAATTAAATTTTCTGATTAGTCCCGAAAATCGCAATTTAGACCCGTTGACGGTCTAATATGATGGGACACCCTGTATATTTGTACGATATTTTTTTGACTTAAGTTTGGCTTTCTAAAAGATTCAAACAAAATATTTATTGGCCTAATTTTTCTTCCACTTTTCTTATTATTGGAATCACTTTATTGGAGCCGAGATTTAATATTACAAGTTTGCTATTAGATAAAAACCATAAATACATAAATATTTAGGGGTTTCTTCAGCCATCACTGGGATCTCTTTCTCGTATTTTAGGAGCCAAGATTTCCATATTAATCGGTGCTGCTATCTACATTTCAGGAATATTGTGGCTATTTATAAAAATGTTTGTAAATTCAGAAAACAACATTTTAAAGACGACATTGCACTTATTCTCATTTAACCACTCAAGATACCTTTAACAAGAAGTCCAAAGAAATGACGTAAGTATAGGACGGATAAAACTCATTAAATCTGACGGTTAAAAGGTTAATTATTTAATTTGCTGCTTTAAGTAGAATAGTTTTCAAGTATAAGTAATGATTGTGCAAAGAAATAAGCAAGTGTACAACTTGAATATACAGAAAAATACTAATTTGTTTCCGTACAGTCGTCTCTGAAGTATTGATTCCTATATAGGCAGCCCTGTACATCATTGTTGATATAAAACGTTTAAAATTATATTTTAGATAATAATTCAACTATAAATAACGCTTTTATAGTTATTCAGGCAAAGATTCTCCTTTTTAGTAGACCTACAATTGGATGTTTTTTCAATGTGCAGTTTGCAGGGGTCAATATAATTCCCAAAAAAGCTGATTTTCTCGATCCCAAAATAATTTTTTGCCCCCAATTTTTAGAAAAAATGCCCCCAGTTAAAATTTTTTTTTTCAAATTCCACTAACACATTTGCCCCATTGCCCCCAATTTAAAAAAAAATGCCCCCAATTTTTTAAAAAAATGCCCCCAATTAAAATTTTTTTTTTCAAATTCCACTAACACATTTGCCCCATTGCCCCCAATTTAAAAAAAAATGCCCCCAATTTTTAAAAAAAATGCCCCCAGTTAAAATTTTTTTTTCAAATTCCACTAACACATTTGCCCCATTGCCCCCAATTTTTAAAAAAAATGCCCCCAGTTAAAATTTTTTTTTCAAATTCCACTAACACATTTGCCCCATTGCCCCCAATTTTTTTTAAAAATGCCCCCAATTTTTAAAAAAAATGCCCCCAGTTAAAATTTTTTTTTCAAATTCCACTAACACATTTGCCCCATTGCCCCCAATTTTTAAAAAAAATGCCCCCAGTTAAAATTTTTTTTTCAAATTCCACTAACACATTTGCCCCATTGCCCCCAATTTTTAAAAAAAATGCCCCCAGTTAAAATTTTTTTTTCAAATTCCACTAACACATTTGCCCCATTGCCCCCAATTTTTAAAAAAAATGCCCCCAGTTAAAATTTTTTTTTCAAATTCCACTAACACATTTGCCCCATTGCCCCCAATTTTTAAAAAAAATGCCCCCAGTTAAAATTTTTTTTTCAAATTCCACTAACACATTTGCCCCATTGCCCCCAATTTTTAAAAAAAATGCCCCCAGTTAAAATTTTTTTTTCAAATTCCACTAACACATTTGCCCCATTGCCCCCAATTTTTAAAAAAAATGCCCCCAATTTTTATTTAAATTATCATATAAAAAAAATTTGCCCCCAATTAAAGAATTTGCCCCCATTTCTTTCAAATTTCTCAATCCCATTTGGGATTGAAAAAGGAATTATATTGACCCCTGCTTGACTGTTGACTTAGAAACTACAGTCACGTTTGATTTTAAACCTGTAATTTCTTAAAATAGGATTTACTCAAATTTCCTTAAACTTGAGATGAAAATTTAACAGACTGTATCAGAATGTATTCAAAAAATTGAATTCACGTAAATTTCAATTTTAATATTGTTTTTGAGTAGACAATTAGTGCCAATCCAAATATCTTTCTATTTTTTTAAAGATGATTTGGTCTGAAAACAAATTTTGACCCCTTTGAAAAATTAATTTTGAATATTAAACTTTGCAATTAAGTGTTTAATACAAATATACAAATATTAAACTTTGCAATAAAGTGTTTAATACAAATATACAAATATTTTACAAATAGAAATGGAGACAATACTTTGAGATTGTTACAAAGCAAATAGTTTTACAACACTTATTAAATCACTAATTTAGTTAAATGGGTCTGTTTACACTGCACAATTGCCGTGTATCATGCTCATTGAACTTTTTACATAGAAAACTTGATTCTAAAAGTCGTCTTCATATTTCAGACCTTTCCTTTTATAACTGTAGAAAGAATTTATAATTTTGTGTAAAGAACATAAAATCTACGAAAAACGTTTGTAATAATTTACAACTAAAGATCGGAAAGTAGATAAAATAGTGTAAAGGTAGAAAATAGTCAACCTGTTGGTCAGTCAGATATAAAATTTGCATATTTGAAAAATATTTTTTTGAATTATTGTTTAAGCCTCCGCTGCAGTTGTTTTTAATGATCTTTCCGTGAGAATAGAGAGTTTTAGCATTGCAACATATTATAGAAAATATTAGCTTTGAATAATTTTGTTAAGATCTTGCTGGTTTATTTGATTCTCTCGGATGAACTGGAAATAACAGAGAAGGTTGGAATATTTTTTCTGTGTTAGGTACTTTCCACAAGACATTTTCCAAGAGCGACTTCCCACGTTACAACTTCCCAATTGTGCAATTTCCCAAGCGGAAACTTCCCGAAGGTAAGGTAAGGCCTTCTGAGGCGCCGCGCAGACGTGAATTTAACGTTTCTTTCAATATTCCAGAAAGCTGTGACTTTCTATCACAATTTAAGCCATTAAACTTTTTGTCGGCATAAGCATTTTGAAGGAAAAAGAATAGAATAAAAAATTTAAAAGATTGTTGAATTAAAGACCAAAACACGTTTGATTTAAAATAGAAGAAACCGAATGCTGCTCACTCTGGTTAGTCCAGGGTGCGCGCAGGCTGCAATAAGACCGAGCGCTGCGGCTAGGATGGGCTAGGGGGTCGAGCGATACGGCTAGAACAGGTTAGGGGGCCGAGCATTGCAGCTCGAAAGACTTGGGAAGTTGCCGCTTGGGAAATCACTCATTTGGGAAGTTTAATTCTGAAAATTAAACCTTATTTCTATCATGGCAACATCAACTTCGTTTTTCCTATTCCAAATCTCTATGTGTCTCACAGTCTCTCATTGTATATCTAGAGATGGGCATTGTTCTTTCTCTTTTTTTTTACTTTTACGAGGAAAGTAATTTTAAGTTATCCTCCATGCCTCCTCCATGCATCCTCCATGCATCCTCTATGCCTCCTCCATGCATCCTCCATGCATCCTCCATGCATCCTCCATGCATCCTCCATGCATCCTCCATGCCTGGTTCACAACGCCACCTAAGAAACTGATCAAGAATAAGCTATGCCCTGTTTATTTAATTTAAAATGACTTGCGCTTTTCTGCTTACAGAAATAGAAATAATATTACCAGTTTCTTGAAAAATTAGCTTTTTATGTGAACAATGTGTAAACTGCACAATTCCTGTGATTCAAATTCATTGGTCAGAACTTAATTCTAACGATCGTCTTCATATTCCCACTGAATTTATGATTCCCACTGTATTTACCATAGGTTTGGATTTATCTGGATATATACGCCAATTCCATTGTCTCTCAGAAAACAGCTCAATATATAAGAAAAACATCAAAATTACTAGCTAAAAAGGTAATTCTGTTTTTTCCCCCTAAAAGTGTTTAACCAAAAAATTTGTTTACAATTCATTTTTTGGATTCTTTTAAGGAGTATATTGCAAACTTGAAAAAAAAACTTTTTCAAAATGTTGTTTTTTTGTGCATTAGTTTTAAATCAAAATTTTATTCCTTGTAAAATTTCAGATTGGAAGTCGGGAATCTGTTCTACCTTTCAGGAAACTGGAAACAGCAAATATTTGTTTCCTGTAATTGCTTTTGCTTGGTAAAATATAAGCTTTTAACAACAACCATAGGTTTTCACAGATATTTTTTCTTTCTGAAACAACAATGCTTGGCGGCTTTTCCAGTAATAATTTTAGCTTTTGAATGTTGCTTTTTAGGTTGTTATTTGTTATTATTATTTATTATTAATTTGTCTGTTTAAATTAGTGGATTTTCAAACATAATAAATGCTTATATTTTTTTCACGCAATATTTTTTAATTTAGTCTAGCCAATTCCATAAACATTCCCTAGTATCATGTGTGTTCGGACGTTTTGACGTTATGACGTTTTAACGTTTATTGGAAACAAACAAGCAGCTTTAAAATTCCATAAATTAAAATATTAAAATTGACGGGAAATGGAAAAATCTCCATTTTGAAAAAATTTCCCGGATTTGCATAATTCAGCTGTTTTCTCTAGCTTTAGCAAACTCAAAGAGAAGGAGATGGATCAACTAGAAAATATATTTAACAGGTTTTTAAAATTTTAATATATTAAAGGGGCTGTCTTTGTAATTTCAAGTGGGTCTCCATTTAAAGTTGGGCAATGCGCATGCCCAATTAACCATTTAAAATTTATAAATCTGATCAATAATGTGGAAGACAACATCATTTTTCTGGCTTGCGAAGTATTTAATTCTGAAAGCTCCTACATTGTTTTTAGTAGATGCAAAAATCACTTTTTTAGAAAAACCACAATTGAAAATAATCAGTTTTTAAAATTATAAACATACATATATAATTCATACTTGACAAAATTAAGCTTTTAACCATATTCAGGCTGACGTCTGGTTTACCAAAAATAGTCTATTTCTTTATTGTGATACAAATCTATAACGTTTGATACACTTTTAGAAAACCATTGGGATCTACTTTTAAAATCTGCTAAATGAATTGTGTAATTGCAAATTTTAAATGTTTATTGCAATTTTAAGTTAATAAGCAAAAAATAAGCAAAAACAAAAAGTGCGCGAAACATGATAAATTATTCATTTTTGAAAAGTCTTACCGCGGCAAATTCAAATATGCAAAAATATTTCCAAACTTTTTTAAAACTTAATTTGTATTCAAGGAAAACTGAAAATGTGCAAATTCTCTTTAAAAGCATACGTGAAAAAATCTGTGCAAAATTTCTTCGCAAAAATTGTGAAATTAGTGTCCTTTTTGCAATGTTTTCCAAAGAGCTATAAAAAGTTTAAATCCAATGATAGGAAGTAGGTCTAAATATAGATATAGTCGCGGGTATACGTTTGTTTTTAATCTTTGTGAAGAAACAATCTCAAGAACTGACGAGGGTCAACCCAGACCGAAATACATTTTTAATAAATGTGGAACTAACATCTACTTGTTTACCCTACAGAGGTTTGGTCCATCACCATCACTGAATTTTAAATGTAAAATAAGGCATTCAGGCAGTAAGTATTAAAGCCCCGCTTTGAACCTAAAGTGAGGGACATTTCCAAACCAATTTTTCTTTGTTATCTCCAAAAACGTCAGGGGTGGTTTCGGGGATCCCTCCCCATCCAAGCTGGAATAGGGTTACCCCCCCCCCATAACTGGAATAGTGTTAAGTATATACCGTTGTAAAACAGACTCTATAAATGGAGGGTCACTTTTTATTACGTTTAAGAGTTTTTAAACTAAATTTTTTTCTTTTTATTTGATATCTGCATGAATGTATTTGTTCTATTTCTTTTTAAGGTTTTATGTCTTAATTAAATCAATGAAAAACGTCTGAACCAGTTTTTCCTTCACATTTGTGTACAAGGTGTCCCGATAAAAAAGGGTTGATTAGAGGTCTTTATTTCTTTAAAAATTAATGACAATGAAAAGTGTGAGAATAATAAACACATTTTCTCCTTTTTTAAATTTTAGGTGGAATAAAGAGACTATAACTGAAGATCAGATGAAGCTTCTCTGGGGAAACAGAAATAGAAAACTTCTGGGTATTAATTTTGAACTCTCAGAGAAAATTTTATAATTTGGTCTGTTTCTCATCTTAACTTCAAGCACGTGCACAAAAAGAAACTTTTCACTATTGATTTCTATTGAGCGATTGTTTTTATAACTTCTGATGTTAAATAATGAAAATTCCGATTAAAGACAACTGGAAAACTCCCCTGCGAAAATATAGATATTTTTTACGTTCAAAGCGGTTTTCTAAAATTCTAAAATAAATGTTTACTTTTAAAAAGTTAATATAATTATTTTTTTTAAAACAGCTTGCAAGCAAATTGTTTAACGATTACAAGCGTTTTTGTAAAATAAAAAGGAAGTCCGACATCCTTGATCAATCACTCAGAAACGTAAAGAGTACTGTTGTGAATGAGACATGCCACTCAAAAATTGAAGTGTCACTTGAAATTACGCCAACAGTCACTTTAATTAAAGGATAATTATGAGTGACCAGCTCTATTTAAAGAGTGACATTGCCTGGTTTAAACCTCGATGGTGTTTTTTTTTTCTCAATAAATTTAAACTGCGGATTTTGCAGAACACAGAAGAAGACAATTTTGAATTTAACACGTTTTAACTATAAAATATCCTCAGATGTTTTTGTAAAATGTGAACATAATTCCTATTTCTTAGCATTTTCATCATCTTTATTTTAGAGGGAAGATTTGATGTTATCCAGGGGATAGCGGAGGGGGATTTCTTGATGGTAAACTTTAATTTTTAAATTTTTATAAATATTAAATAAAATTAATAATATAAAATCAATAAAATGAAATGTTTTCATGGCGATATAATATATGCGTTTGCCTTATATATGCATAAACTGGTTCATGGTAGGCTTCCATACATGACATTAAAGATCTAACACATTTGGTAGATTTTAAAGAATTTTTTTATATATTTAAGACAACATTGCTTAATTCGAATGTAATTGGGTAAAGAATCTTTCCCTGGGGTCATGTGAGGTCATATATATATATATATATATATATATATATATATATATATATATATATATATATATATATATATATATGTAACTTGACTAAATAGAATTTCAATATGTTTTTACTATTTATTGCCTATCTAAAGATATGTATTATATAAATTAAACTATCAGGGTGCTTCGCAACGAAAAATAAAATAAAAATTATACAGTAATCTAATTTGATGGTTAGGAACATATTTCTTAAAAGAAATTTGTCAATAAATCAATGCTAAAATCGATTATTTTGTTTTCATTATTATATTGAATTTCTAATATAAATTCGCAGATTTCTTCAAATTCTCCAAATGTCGTCTTTTCAATAATAATTCTAGAAAATCTGCGAGAATCTTTGTGAACAATGAGAAACCAGAATAATGAGAAAATAGAAACTAATAATTAAGCAAGATTACTTATTTTCGATGATAAGATTAAGTTTTATTTTTTCAACATGTTCCTATACATGACATCTGTAGTTTGTTGTAGAACTTTTTTACATTTTATGTCGTCGTTATTTAATAATTAAAAACAACTAATTCTGAAAACGTAGGAGTATTGAACATCGATTTTGCGCTCAAACTCAGGATTTACAGATCTTTAAAAAGTTTAATATATCTCAATTGAATCCGAAAGAAGCTTTCAGCAACACTGTATACTCAGTTCAACTACCTTACATAGCCGGTCACTCCCTTTAACGGTTCTGTCAATATTCCTGAAATCTGTGACTTTCGATTAAAATTTGACCCGGCCGATTAAAACAAAATTATTTAGCTTCCATATTTTTTTTGTCGGAAAATGCATTTTGAATGAGAAAGTATAGAATAAACAAATCCGTAAGTTAAAAGATTGTTGAATTATAGACCAAAACACGTTTGATTTCAAATAGAAGAAACCGATTGCTGCTCACTCTGGTTAGTCCGATGTATGTATGTAAAGATCTAGGTCCCGAGAAATCTCTCTGTACAATTGTCTCTAACTCTAATTCTGCAGTCAATCCTGACTGAATTCCTAGCCTAACCTGGCTACTTATACGTCCGTATGAAACAACGGTTGATATGGTACTAATTTATTGATAACAGGTAAAATAGGTTGACCGGGCGGGCCGGACAGAACATGTGATAAACATAGATAATACAAACAGATATATACTGATCCTGAATTTGCTACATGTATTAAATCGATGAATCATATGTATCTGCATTAAATTTATAGGGTTTGGTAGAGCGGGGTGGTGGATCTATACAACGACATCAGTATATAACATGGAGAACAATTGGCCTTGCTTTCAGGTAAAATATTCTAAATACATTTTATAAAACTTTTTATTCAATGTTGTTTTTAAGAATTACCTTATTTGAACTTTTTGTTGACATCTAAATGTTAATAACTTAAAAAAGAAGGTATTTTTGTCTTCATTTGTTTACTTGATAAAGATAAAAATGGTGATTTCAATTTTAGACAAACTCAATCAGTTTTAAAACTGAACATGGATTATTTTATTGTCAGACAAAAGTTGATATTTGGACTTAGTGTCGTTTAGTTTTAGATTAAATTAAATTTAGTCGTATTTACCTTTTTCTAACTACAACGGATAATTTGCTTTTAACGGATGTAAAAAGTAGTTATGTGTTTAGTGTACCGGAAGTAGACAAAGATTATTTTTGGGGAAACCGGATGTAGAAAAAGATTATGTTTTAGGACACCGGATGTAAACAGATTGTTTTAGGGCATGCACCAGATGTAATAAAAAAACATTATGTTTAGGTTACTGGATGTAGAAAATAGTTAATTTGTTTAGGCTACCAGATGTAGAAAGTAGTTTATGTGTATGTTACCGGATGTAGAAAGTAATTTATGTATCTAGGCTACCGGATGTAGAAAGCAGTTTTTCAGGCTACCAGATGTAGAAAGTAGTTTATGTGTTTAGGCTACCGGATGAAGAAAGCAGTTTATGTTTTGTTGTACCTAAAGTAGAAAGTAGTTTATGTTTTACTTTCAGGCTACCGGATGTAGAAAGTAGTTTATGTGTTTGGGCTACAGGTTGAAGAAAGCAGTTTATGTTTTGTTGTATCGAATGTAGAAAGTAGTTTATGTTTCACTTTCAGGCTACCGAATGTAGATAGTAATTAATGTGTTTTTAGGGTAACGGATATATAAAGTAGTTTATGTGTTCAGAGTACCGGATGTAGAAACTAGTTTATGTGTTTAAGCTATCAGATATAGAAAGTTAAGATTATGATTCAAGATACCGGATGTAGAAAGTAGTATACGTTTAGGATACCGGAAGTAGAAGGTTATTTATGTGTTTAGACTACCGGAAGTAGAAAGTTATTTATGTGTTTAGGATACCGGATGTAGAAAGTAGTATATGTTTAGGCTACCGGAAGTAGAAAGTTATTTATGTGTTTAGGCTACCGGAAGTAGAAAGTTATTTATGTGTTTAGGATACCGGAAGTAGAAAGTTATTTATGTGTTTAGGATACCGGAAGTAGAAAGTTATTTATGTGGTAAGGATACCGGAAGTAGAAAGTTATTTATGTGTATAGGATACCAGAACTAGAAAGTTATTTATGTGTATAGAATACCGGAAGTAGAAAGTTATTTATGTGGATAGGATACCGGAAGTAGAAAGTTATTTATGTTTTAGGATACCGGAAGTAGAAAGTTATTTATGTGTTTAGGATATCAGAAGTAGAAAGTTATTTATGTGTATAGGATACCGGAAGTAGAAAGTTATTTATGTTTTTAGGATACCGGAAGTAGAAAGTTATTTATGTGTTTAGGATAACGGATGTAGAAAGTTATTTATGTGGATAGGATACCGGAAGTAGAAAGTTATTTATGTTTTAGGATACCGGAAGTAGAAAGTTATTTATGTGTTTAGGATATCAGAAGTAGAAAGTTATTTATGTGTATAGGATACCGGAAGTAGAAAATTATTTATGTTTTTAGGATACTGGAAGTAGAAAATTATTTATGTGTTTAGGATACCGGAAGTAGAAAGTTATTTATGTGTTTAGGATACCGGATGTAGAGAGTAGTTTAAGTGAGGGAAATATTACCCTGTTGACTGGAAACCGAGAACTATCTTATGAAGGAGATATAATTACAGGTTAGGAAAATATACGTAGGGGGAGGGAGGGAGGGAAGCCTGAACCGCCTCGAGCCTCCCAGATTTGCCTTACATCCCCGAGCCTCTACTTTGCATTACAAATAGTATACTAAAACTTTAAAAGTTTGTTACCAACCAAAAAAAGTTGGAAACTGTGAGATATCTGTTCATAATTTAGAACAAAATGTTCGTAAGGAATCATGTCCTTGCCACAAACTCTGATTTTCACAATTCTATTTTCGCAACCCAATTTCGTAGCCCTTTGATTTTTCAAACTATGAATTTTGTCAGATCAATTTATGAAAGGTTTACACTTTCAGGTTTCAAAGATGTTTGGATTAGAAAATTTGAGTAAGTAGCAAAGACAAAATTCCTTCGGAAATGCTTTAAGTATATAAATGTTAGGGTTCCTTTTACAATTGAAGACTATAATTATAAATTGTTCATGAATTTTTTGGGAAAACACGAAATTTCAAAATCAAAACTTTTTTGTTAAGGTCCTTTTATTTCCCATGGAATGATCAGCAACACAAAATGGTCAGTTCAGGTAAACATCATTTTCTGTAAATTTTGAAAATTTTACAGTTGCACAATTTAAACTAACTAGAAAAAACAAGTTTCTGTTTTTAGAATTTAAAAAATTTAGTAATTAAAACTTATAATAGTAAAAATAATTATAGTTTTAAAAAAGATAAATAAGTCTTAAAAAAGACATAAACTAAAATTTTTAAATCTCTATATTTTGAACCTAAAGGTGTAAACCTTTGATATTTAGATTATTTGATCAAATAGAATTTAAAGTTTGAAATATCAAAGGTATACCCACATTGGGTTGCACAGAAATCGGGAATAGAAAATTTGAATAGTTTGTGGGAAAAAACTCAGTTTTTTTGTCAAATTTGTTAACAATCCCTTTATAAGGATGAGGTTCCTGATTCTAAATGTTTTACAGAAGAAACTTTCAAAAGCCTGGAGACTGCTGTAAAAACTATTTCCCTGGATACAAAGGTTTGTCTGATTAAAGGTTGTGTTCGCGAAAAATGAAAGGGGGTTTAGGGCGCTAACATCGAATAGATTTCGATGGTGGTCGCTACTATATCTTACTTCTATGGTTAAACATGACTCATAACAAAGAACGTAGCGTCCGTACAAATTCACAACATTGCATTATTCCACTCAAAAATAATTCCGTAAATTTGTATTCGGTATGAGTCGTGTTTAACCATGTTCTCCTGACAGACGCAGCAGATAGAACTAAGATTTTTTATCATAGTTGATTTAATAAAAGCCCTGGAATACCTATAGAAGCTATATTGCAATAATTCCATGAAATCTACATTTTTGCAGTTTTGCAGTGTTTGGAATAACAAGTTTAATCCCGGGTTATATTGGTGAAGTACTAGTATTTTCAACTATTTTCAATATTATCGAGTTATATTGGTGAAGTACTAGTATTTTCAACTATTTTCAATATTATCGAGTTTCAAGTCTTTTGTAGTATTATTTTCTTCAAGATACTAATTATGAAACGGTGGAAATGGATCAAGTAAAAAAGTAAATATGTAAAAAATTGTTTATTTATGAAATATAGCAAAATCATACAAAATTAAGTGTTTCAGCAGAAAATATTTAAAAAACCTCTAAAAGTAGAGGTTGTGGGAATATTTCCCCCCAATTTAAAAAAAAGTATAAAAATAGAAATAAAAGGAAAAGGAAAGAAAAGAATAAGGAATGTTACATATTTATTGTTTACACTATATTTAATATAAATTGGTTGTGGATTTTTCGTATTTTTCGACTATGAACTAATAACTTTTAGAATTGAAAATTATAGATTTATTTGTAATGTTAAAAAAAAACTCTATGGAGTGTGAAAAAGATATAGGTTCTATGAAAACGGGCATTTTTAAGCATCTTTTAAGCATCCAAGTCAAATGAAACACAATTCCACTCCACTGTTTTTTAGAGGACCGGATTTAATGAGTTGAGTTCAAATCCTGAACCATGTGCAATACACTCTCCAATTATCTAAATTAACATTATATTTGACTTTAAATTGGGATTCAGGATTTGAAACGGCAGTAGGTAGTTCATCAACCTCTCCAATGAACTACTTGATGAAAACTTATGAAATATTTTTAGAAATCATCAATAACATTATTAAGTCCTGGCTCAGCTGGCAAGTTAAACTTTACAAAACTAGGTAAGTTTAACTTTTTTCTGCCTAATTTCAATTCAAAACTATATCAAACTGGACCTTGAGGGCCCTTCGCACTTTGCACCCCTTTTTTTAGCAAAACAATTTAGCTTTTGATGTTGTTTTCTAAATATCAAATATCTTAGTACTTCAAAAAAATGGCTTCATATGATTGATAGATGGTAAAAAACTATTGAGAAGAAAAATGTAATTTTGAACAGCTATAAACCTTTCATTGTGTCATGTAAGGCCCTGCTTGGGCAGCTTTAATATTTATGCAAATCATTTTTAGATTTGTGGCTTTTAACAGACAAATTGAGCTACTTTAGATTTTTTTTTAAATCTCGGACCGGCCTTTTTACTGTCTTGTACCCTAACTTATACATTAAAAAAAATCTTGAAATCCCTTTTCCTTAAAAGAAAACAAATTCAGGCAAAAGTTTCAAAAAAATAGTGCTAGGGCCAAAAAACTAGAAGGGGGAGGCGTCAAATGCCCCCCCATCCCCCGCCTATTTTGGTTTAAAACTATCGATAAGCAGAAATGCTATAAAACCTCTAGATGAGCGTGTATATAATCTTAAACATTCAATATTTGAACTGTATAGGAATAGAGAACCTATGGATAGGTGTGAGTATGACACATATATTGGAAAATATTCAGGCTCAGGTGACAATTGAAAGAAATTTCTAATTACTCCAGTCAAATAATTTATTTCTAATACTTATATCTTTGCAACTAGATGGTGTTTTTCAATCTCAGACTCATTGATCATGTAATAGTAATTATTTAAAATATAAAAGGGTACGGCATCAGGTTGTAAAGTATAAGGAGTGAACATTATTAAATTATGAGAAGTGTATTCAATTTCTCTTTGGTAATACAGTTTAACATACTTGTATGAACATGCTAATTTTTAAACTGTGTGAAATATCATCTCTTTATTTTAATAAGCTGTGCGATGCTAAAGAGAAACTAAAAAGGACTGTCGACATTGTTTCATTTGATGACTGGGAAAATATTGGATTCAAAAAGTCGAGTTTAAGTCGAGTTTATCTACCCAGATTTCACCCAGTTGATAAGTGGATTTCAACAGTGGAGTTTGAGTCGAGTTAAAGTGGAGTTTTAAAGTGGAGTTTTAAAGTGGATATTTGAACTCCAAGTTTTCACCCTGACTCGGTAAAAACTGGGATTCAAAAAGTCGAGTTTAAGTCAAGTTTATGCACCCAGATTTCACCCAGTTGGTGACTGGAATTCAAAAGTGGAGTTTAGAACAACCAGTTGACATCTTGTTGTATCATCCACTTCTGTTTCCTGGGATTTATTGATTGGCATCATGGCATGCCAAATGCCCTCATGAAATCTTTGCCTGCATAGGGGCTGAGGATATATTCTTATTTTCCTACAGCTTAAAATTGAATATTTTCAATGGCGGCATTTCGATGTCCCAATAATTAACAAATTATCATGTACAGATTAAAGACAATGTATTTGGATACAAATACAAAAAAATGACAATTTGTTTGTAACAAGGAAACTTAAAAATTCACCTCTTGGTGTGTAAAACTCTGTTTATAAATTCACCTCTAGTTTTTTATAACTCTACGACTACTTATAAATTCAGCTCTAGGTGTGTCTGTTTATAAATTCCTCTCTAGGTGTGTAAAATTACTTGGCTGTTTATAAATTCCTCTCTATGGTGTGTAAAACTATGTGGCTGTTTATAAATTCACCTCTAGGTGTTAGGGATGCATTGTTTTGAAAACCATCGTTTCGTTTAGAAAACGACGAAGAAAAAAAGAAAACGATAGTTTTTAAAAATATCGTTTTTTAAAAAACTGTCGTTTTATCGGTTTAAAAAAACCATAGTTTTTAAAAAATTAGTGTTTTCAAAAAAAAGATAGTTTTTGTTTTTGAAAACGACCCTTCATTAACGACCATTAACGACTACCCTTCATTAACGACCGTTAAGGACGTTCCTTCATTAACGATCGTTAACGACCTTTTAAAGATAAAATGTATGTTTTGGTCGGAAAATCCAAGGTCAGAAAACATTCAGGTTATTTGTTTCGATAAAAAGAAAACATACAAGACAACATTCATAACCTTCTCTTTCTGCACAAAAATTGAAATTAATTGTCATAAAACTCAGATTCCGTAGCGAAACTTTTTTAAAAGACAAAGATTCTAAAAATTTGTTTTATAAAAAAAATTATTTTTTTAAAAATCATGTTTAATTTCAAAAACAATTGTTTTTTTTTGTTTTTGAAAAAGACCCTTCATTAATGACCTTTCTTTAACGACCGTTAACATCGCAACCCTTTGTTAACAACTGTTAACGACAATACTTCGTTAACAATCGTTAACAACCTTTAAAGAGAAAATACATTTTTTGGTCGGAAAATCCAAGGTCAGAAAACATTAAGGTTATTTTTTCAATAAAAAAAAAATTAAACAACATTCAGAAAAAAAATTAAAACGTAACACGCTTATAAATTCACCTATAGGCGTTTAAAACTCTGCACGGTTGTTTATAAATTTACCTCTAGGTGTGTAAAAAACTGTGCTTAATTATTAATTCCTCTCTAGGTGTGTAAAAATCTGTGGCTGGAAACCCCTCTCTATCTTCTCCAAGTTGAAACTAAACTATTACCAGCATTCATTCAAAAGGTAAAAATTGGTTTAAATTGTTTTGGATCAATTGTATTCAATTTTAATAAAATCTTTAAACTACATCCAGACCAATAATGGTAAAAAAAACTATTAGATAAAATTAGAATTGTTGAGAGAATTCATAAAATGTCAGGGAGAACCAAGCTTAAACTTTATTTAANTTAATCCTAAAGATAAGCACAGATATATTCTAAATTCGGGTATCTTTTATATTATATTTTGTATACAGGTGTGTGAGATGGCCTCCAAATTTGGTTTCAAATTTGAAAAACTCTTAGAAGAATCAGATCAGGAACTAGCTTCAGTCCTCAAGTTTTCCAAAAGTGAATAATGATCAAAAACATCAATAAAAGGATAGTTAAAAAATAAAATGTGTTTGTCTTCTGGTCTATTTTACTCTCCTCTACTCAGTACTCTCGAGTCTCGACTGATGATTCTTTTTGGTCCTTGCGTTATTTATACATTATTGATGACACACTTAATAAAAATGCGTTTAAATTTTTCTGCCAATTTGATCTAGCCATTTAGCCAGCAAAAGGGAACATAGCTTGTGAAATAGAAAAAAAATTATTTTAAAAAAAATCTCTAATTTTTTGCCTTTGTTACCCGTAATGGGGATCTAGCAAGCGAATTTTTCTTTTACAGATAATCAAGATGTTTAAAATTTTCAGATTTAAAAAAAAATCGTAACGCCATTTTGCCGAGATTCCGGTACTGCATTTTTCTGCTGATCCGGATAAATGGAGATTAACTGTTACGGATCCAATTAACTGAAACCTGTATTTACTAGAATAGAAAACCATGCATGTCCAAATCTAAAATCTGTTAGGTTTTTAAAGACTACTGAATTATAATTGATATTGGTATTATACAAGAATTACAAAATTCTTTAATATGAAGACCTTTAAGTGCAAAACGTGTTGATATACAATATAAAAAATTATAAATCCTTCAAGAATGTTCCAACTTTTTTAGCAATTTAAACAGTTCATTTTATTGTTTCAAAACCAACAACTTTAATATTACGTATCACAATTAAGATATTTTTGGTCTCTTTTACAATTCGTCCCTTGATGGTTTGGCTGGACTTTGGTGTGAACTCCATCTAGCTTTGATCATATCACTTGCCTTCTCGGCAATCAGAATGGTCGGAGCATTTGTATTTCCTGCAACAAGTAAAATAAATTTATAAATTTATTAAAGGGACTGTACAGGAAAAATGAAAGGGGGTATAGGCGGAAACCTAAGCACTTAGAGTTGATGGATGGAGACCTATAAGAATAGATGTCTCCGTCTGTAACATGAGACATACAGACATATCAATTGTATTATCAGTTATATCTATAAAAATAAAAAATTATTAAATTCAAATTATGACAGGAGCCAACCTAAGTCATTCAAGCTTCTCTGAGTTATCGTAATTTTCAGATTCGTTGAGTATTTTAAACTTATAGGTTATTGCAGCAAATCTCATATATATAAGTTTTGGTATAAGTTTGACACAGTTTTACGTCATTTTTTGAGACAGGATCATCAGAGAACTCTTATCAACTCCTAGAGTGCTTAAGTTTCAGCCCCCCCCTTGACAAATTCCTGAATACGCCCCTTTATTACTGAGGGCGGTGAGTTCACAAAGTTGGTATACTGTTAAATATAACAATTTCGAGCAGACTTTCGGGTGATTCTAATGTTATGTATTTTGCTTATATAACCTTGTTTTCAGGGCGCTTCGCGCTCATCTTTTATTTCAAGTTTTAATTGTTGCTTTATCTGTGAACGTTTTTCTTTCTATCTATATATAAATTTGAATTGTCTGTTTGTTTGTTTGTATCCAATAAACGGCTGAACTGATCGGGCCCAAATGTTTTGTGGGACATCACGTGACCACAGGGAACGTTTATGAATGAAAAAAAATTAAAAAAAAATGTGTTTTAAAGGTGTTTAATTTTGTAAAAACAATTGAATTCTTGAAAATCCGCGATTTTTTTTTTAAATCCGCAAAAATTTTTTCTTCTTTGTTTTAAAATGTAAACAAAAAGAATATGTTCACAATTTAAATAGAAGATGGGCGCGAAGCGCCTTTAAATCCTAGTACATTAAAAAACAATAAAAAAAGTTTGCGGATTAAACTGTATTTTTCGTGGATTTTCAAAATTTCATAAATTTTCCTCAGACTTAAATTTTCTTATTGTTTTGTCTTTGCAGCCTGATATTTCACACAAACCTTGAATATTTCAAACTATAAATTCTGCTAAATCAATAATCACAGTTTGAAATATGAAAGTTTTTCACCATTAGGTTGCATTGATAAAGGAATTAGAAACATTGAGTTCAAAGAATTCCTTCCAGAAATAAATCCGTAATAATTACAAAATACTCACGTTAAGTAAAAAATAAATAAATATAGCGATGATAATTCCGCTAGCACCGTACTAATTTAAATCTCACCTGAAACTGCAGTTGGCATTATACTGGCATCAACAACACGTAATCCTTCAATATTCTTCACTTTCAACTCATGGTTCACTACTCCTGCATTAACATACGTACAGAGATACCCACAACATCAGGGGTATTTATTTTGTTAAAAAAGTCCAGTCTCTCAGTTTTACTGCTAAATTGATAATTCAGGAAAAAACGTATTTAAAAAGGTTAAAATAAATGAAAGTTAAGGAACAACTTTTGAATTTTTCCTCAAAATCATAAAAAAAACAGTAAATATCTAATATAAATTGTATTTTTCAGAACTTGTGTTTATTTGTTCACGGAATTTAATTACTTGCTGCAGATAGCTGATTATAAGACAACAAATTGTATTTTCAACTGTACATGTACTCACGACTAACAAGAAGAAGATAAAATTGAAAAATAGAAAGTAAAACAAAAAACAAAAAACAAAATGTAATGTTTATTTGATTACTTTAAGGCAAAAATTAAGTGGAATTTTAAACCCCTGCACTGGAAAAAATCTGAATGGAATTATAAACCCCCTGAATGGATATCTGAATACCTTTAGTAATCATGTAAACCCCTCCAGTGAAAATAAAATCCCTCTTGTGGTCTCCAGTGAAAATAAAATCCCTCTAGTGGTGTCCAGTGAAAATAAAATCCCTCTAGTGGTCTCCAGCGAAAATAAAATCTCTCTAGTGGTCTCCAGTGAAAATAAAATCCCTCTATAGGTCTCCAGTGAAAATAAAATCCCTCTAGTGGTCTCCAGTGAAAATAAAATCTCTCTAGTGGTCTCCAGTTAAATCTAAATCTTCATACGAACTTCTTTGAGTCCAAAAATCAACTCGTTTTTAAAGTGACACTGCACATTGCACAATTGTTTTGTAGAATGCAGTCCATTGAACTATTATAAAAATATATTAGAAAATAAAATAAACAAAAATAATTTTAGAAATTTCAAAGGGGCTATAAGCGTAATTTCAAGCGACACTCCATGCAAAGATCACACTGTCCTAATTACAACGGTACCCTTGAAACCTTAATGTGATCAAAAATGTGGAAGAAACCGTGATTACTATAAGCTAGAAAAGCGCAAGTCACTTTCACAGAGAAACCGCAAATGAAAATAAACAGTTTGTAGAAACAAAAATATTGATATCTGATTTATACTTGATCAGACAAAGCTTTTCAGGATATCCTTGTAAATCAGGCATTGCCATCTTTGCATGGACGGTCACTTGAAATTAAGCTGAATCCTTTTAAAAACCTGTTTGATCTGGTGCCATCTTGCAAGTTCCTACTGGATGATACATGGTTAAAGACATCTGCTTGATATAACAGCTCCAGTAGGCTGTAGAGAAGAGCTCTATTGATTCACAACCAGGAAAGGCAATATTTGGTATCTAAAATGTCTAAAATGTCTAAAATGTCTAAAATGTCTAAAATTTCTAAAATGTCTAAAATGTCAAAAAATTCTGTCTTCATGTATTTTTTATTTTGTTAAAGCCGAAAAATGTCGACTCTGGTCGAGATTTAATTTCTGAAAAATATTTTTATATGTCTGTTGCGATTCAAGGGGTTGTACATTTTTCAGTCAATTGGAAGATTGCCACTTAGGACTTTGTCATACAGGAATTTGTCATCTAGGATAAGATGGGTTGAATTTTCACTGCGTGTGCGGGATATATATACTCTAAACATTATCAGAACTTAGCAAAAAAAAGTCATCAAAAATCTTGAAAAATGGAGAGCTGAGAGTTAATTTTAAAAAAAATAGATTAAAGACTGAAAAAAAATTCTTCAAAATATATCATTAAGGGTATACAAAAAATATGTCTTCAAAAATTGAATTAAGAAAATTTTATTTCACAGGGATTCGTTGACCAATAAAAGAAAAAAACATGTGTTTGCATTAAAGTTTGCTAATTATGAGTTTTTTCAATTTGTCAATTAGAAGTTTGTAACTCAGGAGTTTTTCAATAAAATTTTGTCTTGTAGGAATTTGTTATTTAGAAATATCTTATTCATAAGTTTGTCATTTAAGAAGTTTGTAATTTGGAATTTTTCATTTAGAAGTTTGTTATTTAGAAGTTTGTTATTTAGAATTTTGTTATTTAGAAGTTTGTTATTTAGAATTTTGTTATTTAGAAGTTTGTTAGTTAGCAGTTTGTTATTTAGAATTTTGTTATTTAGAAGTTTGACATTCAGTTCGGAGTTTATCATCTAGGGGTTTTTCATGTTGTATTTAAGATTCTTGAGTTTGTCATATATTCAGGAGATTGTAATATATTCAGGAGATTGTCATATATTCAGGAGATTGTATAATATATTCAGGAGTTTGTCATATATTCAGGAGTGTGTCATGTATTCAGGAGTTTGTCGTATATTCAGGAGTTTGTCGTATATTCAGGAGGTTGTCGTATATTCAGGAGTTTGTCGAATATTCAGGAGTTTGTCGTATATTCAGGAGTTTGTCGTATATTCAGGAGTTTTTCCTATATTCAGGAGTTTGTCATTAATTCACGAATTTGTCGTATATTCAGGAGTTTGTCATAAAATCAGGAGTTTGTCGTATATTCAGGAGTTTGTCATAAATTCACGAGTTTGTCGTAGATTCAGGAGTTTGTCGTATATTCAGGAGTTTGTCATAAATTCAGGAGTTTGTCATAAATTCACGAGTTTGTCATAAATTCTGGAGTTTGTCATGAATTCAGGAGTTTGTCATGAATTCAGGAATTTGTCATAAATTCACGAGTTTTTCATAAATTCAGGAGATTGTCATGTATTCAGGAGTTTGTCATATAATCAGGAGTTTGTCGTATATTCAGGAGTTTGTCGTATATTCAGGGGTTTGTCGTATATTCAGGAGTTTGTCATAAATTCAGGAGTTTGTCATAAATTCACGAGTTTGTTATAAATTCAGGAGTTTGTCATAAATTCAGGAGTTTGTCATAAATTTACGAGTTTGTCGTATATTCAGGAGTTTGTCGTATATTCAGGAGTTTGTCATAAATTCAGGAGTTTTTCATATATTCAGGAGATTGTCATGAAGACATCTGGAACAAAGATTCCAGATTTATGTGCCCAATGATTTTAAAAATCTAATCTTAAGATGCTAAAATATACCTTGTAGCTTAACTTTTTCAGATTGGCAGCAGAATTAACCATGTTAAATGTTTTCTCAACAGCTTCTGTCAGCAATTTAACATCGTCCTCCTCCCCCAAGTAGTTAGGGTTAACTGGTTAATTCAAATTAAAAAACATATTTTCAAAAATCACGAAGAAGACTATAAGAAAGTCTCCAACAATGACCTTTGATATAATTTCGAATAGATCAAATAATTATAGATCCTGCGTCAGGTTGCAAAGATATAAGGATCAGAAAGATTGAGTTTGAGGTGAATACAAATTTGAATTGCTAAAAATTAACTTTTCTTTAACTTCTTGAATTCCCCCCCTTTTTGCATATCTCGAAAAGCATTTATTTCAAGTAATTGGTTTTAGAGAAAAACAAAGAAAAAACAATTGAATAACGTGTCACAAAAAATACATCTTTCTCATTTAAAAAATTTAAATTTTCCTAATGGAGCATCTCCAGGATTAATAGATTTTAATCTCACAGAACCTCTAGATTTTGGTCTCAGTATAATAGGCAGAATATTGACAGCATACTGATTTCTTGGAAAATAAAACTTTTTGAAATAATCTTCCCAAATGGTGTTCTTGAGTCCGAAAGTTTTGTAGAGGGACGTATAGAAGTCCGCTGTTAGAGTTGATGAGATGAAAATGAGCTGGATATCTGGAACCAAATTCAATGATTATAAAGAAGTATTTGTACAAGCACCACTTTTCTTGTTCCGGTGGGGTGCGTTAATTCTTAAAACAAATAAAATTCAGGAAGCCTTTATAGCTGTATCGTTTTCGTTAACGGTATTTTGTTGTTTTTTTAAACAATCCCAATTTTATTAATGATATCATTTTTAGTTAAAGAAAAGATTTTGTGAACGATTTGTCAAATAATTAGTCTAAACCCTTACATTTTTAAAACGGCAAATCCCTTTTGTTAACGATTTAAAAATCAATTGTATTTTTGCCGTTCGTTAACGGACTCTTCCGTTCATTTTTAAAAACCTCCGTTTCGTTAACGAAACATTGCCCAGCCATAGAGAAAAGTGGTTGACCTAGTGGTCGTTGTTTAACTACTAGTCATTTTTCATAGAATTTGTTGCCTGGGTTGTCAGTAGCCAGGTTATTCTTTGAGTTGATAAATCCCATGAAATCTACAGCAAAGGTAGAGGAGAGAGGGCCTCGACCATGGAGAAAATAGTCCCGAACTGTACNAGTCATTTTTCATAGAATTTGTTGCCTGGGTTGTCAGTAGCCAGGTTATTCTTTGAGTTGATAAATCCCATGAAATCTACAGCAAAGGTAGAGGAGAGAGGGCCTCGACCATGGAGAAAATAGTCCCGAACTGTCCCGAAGTTAAGAAGCTGTGAAGGATCAAAACTCAGGGATTCATTTATCACAAAGGGACCTGAAAAGGGACAGAACACATTTCTGGAAAATTTGAAAATGTCGTCTTCATTATCAAAAATCCTCGAAATTTTAGGAATGAATATTTTTAAAAGTAACATTCGGATCATATAAAATAAAAAAATGTTATAAAAAATCAACTTTATACAAATTGAATTCGACAATTACAGGTTGTAATATCTGAATGAGAAGTTTTAAATTTTATTTAATTTAACAAACCGGGCTGGACCTTGGCACCTTATCCCCCTGAGCTGATAAATTACCTAGCATAGTTGTTAAATGATCTTGAAGATTGAGACCAACAGGAAGGTCAGCTTCTACCTGGAATTACAATAATAATAATAATAACAATAA